CCCCAAAACCCCAAAACCCCAAAACCCCAAAACCCCAATAAAATCTATAAAGATTGAATTTAGCTAAAACACATAATTATGAATTTTAAAGTTGACCTTAATTCTCCTCTCGAAGTTGTCATCCTGTTGAACCACTTTCTTTGGTTGTTTCATAGGCTCCTTCTGAAAGCGCCTTCTTCTTTGCTGTCGAGTAAACAGGTGAAGTTTTCTAGGATCTGCATTTCTTGAGAAAGGAGAACAAAACTTAATTAACTCTGAATACTCCGGATCTTTCTGAACAAAAGTATCAGTTTTAGGAAAAGAAATCTCATTTCGAAGGTTCTTAATAGTGCAATTTGCCTTTTCTTTAGCCTTCCGGATCTTCTCTAGATTGGCCTTAGTCTTAAGCTGCAGAGGATTTATCGGCCGGAATTTATAAGTGATCATCTTCTCTATACATAATAAGTGTCACATTCAAGAGAGGCTTTACTTTTTAAACTCTTTTGGCTTGATCTCCCATCTGTGTCTGTATACGCTTAGCAAGGAAAAATTTACTGGATCTCATCTTATTTCTGTCTTGAGTATCCTCGAACAAGGAAATTAGTGCTGTTCATGGTTGACTTGTTTGTAGATGTTGAGGCAAAAGCACTTCTGTGGTGGCTGTTAGTTAAATCTTGAGCACTATACATGAGAGAGAAAGGTACGGTCTCTGATAGCACAGGCTTTAAGATACGCTTGTTCTGGCGGGATTTATCTTCTCCTTTAGGACTCTGTATGCATTTTTGAACACGTTCTAAATATAATTCGTATAAATACCAAGGTCTTGATTTAATTTCTGGAATGATGTCGTATTATTGAGTCTTTCAAACTTGACCTTTTCTCGCCTGTGATGAGAACAAAATAATACCCTCTAACCAAGGAATGGATCATTATCAAGTTTGAGTCCTTTTCTGCCTTATCATTTCCAGTTTTGTTTATAATTCTCTATAAAAGATGCATAACTTTCTTTGAAATTAATATAGAACTTTAGGAAATTACCCATCTTCTTTTATTCTGCAATATTTTTGGCTTTTGAGACAATTTATTAAAATCATACTGAAAGTTTTGAAATCTAAAGCAATAACTTCTGAAATTACTGTGGGTTTATACTCTTTGTTGTAAGCTGCTTTGAATCATTAGGTGTGAGGTCCCCTTGCTTCAGTTTCTTAGTTTTTATCCTAAACTCACTTATACAAATGCCTCAATAGCAGTGGTTTTAATAAAACTTATTAAAAATAAGATATTGTAGCTATTACAGACATTTTTACTTCTGAATATTCCAATAGAAAAATTCAAGTTTCTTTTTGTTGTCAAACTTACTCATGACCATCACTAACAGATTTGTAGTGAGTATCAACTAACGTGATGTTAAGTCCTCCTCACGCTTTAGTTTCTTTGAACTCTTTCCAGTTGTTAGATCGCTTAAAGCCTTTAGTAAATTGATTAGTAGTAGAACCTCAAGGGGAATCTCAATTCATTTTCAATAATTATAAGTTTTATTGGGGTTTTGGGGTTTTGGGGTTTTGGGGTTTTGGGG